TAAATTGAAAAACTGAAGGTTTATTTAGTATTAGATAGCGAAACTAAGCATTTTATCAAGTCATTGTCATCATGTTTTGGCAGAGGCAGTTAGCTTGTAGGGGAATTTTTGTTAACAATTCATGAAGTTTTTTTCAAAACATTTAGAATTGACCAAAGCATATAGCAATTGACCATAATTAAATTCAGTAAAAAATTTTTTTTAAATGTATCTTGAAATTTTTAAGACAACTTCATGTTATTAGAGTAATAACATTCTAATAATGTTATTACTCAAGATTGTAAAAATTTATAATGATATGACCTTGAGAAAAATTTATAATGATATGACCATTTTATCTTAATTTAAAAAAACAATCTGACTAAATTTAAGTATATATTTCAAATAATATATTAAAACAATAATTTACCAAAGAAAAACCATAAAAAAAGCATTTCAATATTTTGCAGATCCACCTTTCTTAAATAAGGATTAAAGAAGGCAGTTATCTAAAATTTCAATGTTTCTATCAGCATTAAGTCAACCTTCAAATAATTAATAGCATTTAAGTCCTGCATAATTCATGTAGGCCCAAAAGTTTACACTGCCATTACCTTGCTTGGTTGGTTTTCATGTACAATTCAAATCAAATTACTCTTGAGGTGATCGCCATAGCAGAACACGAAGCAATAACATATTTTTGCATATCTACCTCAACTTTCATTTTGTCTGAGAATATAACATTTCACCACTTGCTGTCGTGTTTCATCAAGCAAATTAATTTTATTAATTAAAAACGTTTATCTCATTGTGTTGCCCACCAGATTATCCAGATCCATAATGTCATCTGATTCAGTATAAGGTTTTCAAATATGTGAATATTCAATATTTAACTTATTGGCTATTTGACGAGGAGATAGTACTTGGTTTTAAATAATAATAGATTTGTAACATGTTTTTTCAGAGAATCTCAACCATGATTTTGGAGTTTCATGCTGTATTACTTCACTCGTTATGAGGCTTTTTCAATATCTAATTTATTTGTGTTTTTATCAATACTATTTCAAAATTAGAAATTTAGAGTTAATAAATGCTAATAAAAATCAAATTAAGTTATTAAAAAAAGTATTACATTAATTTTAAAAATAAAGCAGTAAGCATTAATTTTTAACGAACAAAAAAAATTTTAAAAAATATAGTCGATGTTTCAAAGTTACATATAACTAGGGATACAAATGAAATTTTATGGTAACAATTTGTCTATTAAATAAAAAACACGATACTTATTAATTATATATATATATATATATATATATATATATATATATATATATATATATATATATAACAATTTGTCTATTAAATAAAAAACACGATACTTATTAATTATATATATATATACATATATATATATATATATATATATATATATATATATATATATATATATATATATATATATATATATATATATATTAGCTATATACCTTAATATAAATGTGTCATACATCTACGAAAGTAGTGTTGGGTGAATTCTATTTTTGTTCAGAAAAAAATTGAATACTCAGATCTGAAAACAATTTTAAATCAAGATAAGACTATTCGAAATAAAAAAGTAAAAATTATTAAATTGTATTGCTCAGATTTTTAGAAAAACAGTTTTGAAAATGTAAACAAATCACGCTTTTAACAGTCAGATAAATGTAGCAGAGAATCACAGTTTTTTATATATTTAAACATCTTTATATTGTTTTTATCATTTTTGAATCAACAATTCAATTATTTTTATTATTATTTCATTCTATCAAAAATATGCAAATAATAACTACTAAGTAAAACTTTAAAAATATTGTTGCTACTCAGAAAAAATTTTGGTATCTAAAGGCCGTCACCATCTTTAAAATTATAATATTTGAATTTGACACTGCGCTTGCGTATAATAACTTTCCACATCTAAACGACCGTGTCCCCGTAAGTGCACAAACCAATGGATTTCGCTTTGTATTAAATATACATACCCGAAATAGCAAAACCAATTACTCATGAAAAACAACATTTAAACCACGAATATTAACTTTATAACAATAATAGTACGGTCTACTTTATATACAATGGTCTCTCAAAGACATTTTAATCGCGCAGAAGTTATAAATCAATCCTGAAATTAAGGGGGACCGATTTATGTCCCCGTAAGCAACCTGTCCCGCAATCAACACTTTTTTTTCTAAAAAAAGTCTTCGCAAGAAAGCATTATATATATATATATATATATATATATATATATATATATATATATATATATATATATATATATATATATATATATATATATATATATATATATATATATATAAATATATATATATATATATATATATATATTTATATATATATATATTTATATATATATATATATATATATATATATATATATATATATATTTATATATATATATATATATTTATGTCTTTATATAACTTTTTGTAGCATATTTATCTTAAATTTCTAATTTTTACATAGGTTTAAATATTTTAAGATCAGCGTTAAAGATTAGTAGCGAGGGAATATCACAATCAAGTCACATAGATATTCATAGAAGTAAAGATAACGAAGAAGTTGTAGGTAGTTTCTTTAATTAAATCAGGAATGAAAACAAAGTCGGTTGTATTGGGTTATTAATTCTTATTACTTTTTTTTGCTTACCTTTCTTGACATGCTTGTTGCAAATTTAAAGGTGATAATAAATTAATTATTTTACAAAAGTACATAAAGAGTTGGCTGTGTTTATTTAGCTGAAGACATTTTAAACACGCGTTTCAATCTTTTTTGTAAAAGTCTCTTATGTAGTTCTTTAAATTATCATAAATTTATTGTTGTTGTATTTTTAAAAATAAAAGTAATTTTATTCTATAATTATAATAATATATACTTTTGAAAAATAATATATACTTTTTTTTTACTTAAACTTCTCTGACTATAAAGATTATACAAAAGATGTTTTTATGAATTAAGATTACCCTTGGTATAATAATAATGTAATATTTATTTAAACAGAGATTTTTTAAAAGCTTTAAAAAATAAATATATAGAAGAGAAATTTATAAATATTATTATAACATCCGATTTTTTACTTATTTGATATAAGTAATCACTAGTGGGTTGTGTTCAATGTTCTAACTTTTGTATATTTTATTACACTTTTTTTTTTAGTTTTATAAAGTTTGTTTTAATTTTGAAAGTATTTTATATAGGTTTTTGGATTGCTTTGGAGAATAGAGGATTATACATTTTGATAAAACCATTAGCATTTTATGGAGAGAATGTTGTTTTAACATATAGGTTTTATTCAAGTCAAAGAACCACTTTACGTAAAATATTTTTTGATGTTTTCTTATTATGCTGTTAGGATTTTTTTTAATTCGTTATGTTTTATAATCTTAAGTTACGTAATAGCTGTCATTAAGATTTATTAGGTAATACCAAAACATTAAGCACTGATAAAAACGAAATAAAAAAATAAACTATAGTTTTTCTTTTAAATATTTACAGGGAAAATCTGTAGTATTTGCACTGTAGTAAAAAAATTAAATAAAAAAAAACATAAATGCAACCAGTCCATTTTGAAAACTCTTTCTGATAACTTTTGTTTTGCATGTTTTCTTATAGCCAAATGTTGCGAAAGATTTTTAGCCTTGACTATGCTTTCAACTAAGTTTTTGGGGCTCAGACAGTAAAAGATTCAAGGGTACGTTAATTTTTTGAATTAAAAAAATAGACGCATCTTTACAAATTAATGCTTTAAACACAGTTTATAGTCGATATATTTCTAAATTAGAATTTAAACTGAATAATAATTCATTTGACAGTAATAGAGTTTATAATCATAATTATAAAAAAGTACAACTCGACATCGATTTGTTTAATATCTGCATGAGCCGTAAAACTTTAACATCTTATGCAAACAAGAAATAATGGATGTCATGTTATTAAAAAAATAAACTTATATGTCAAAAGACTTTTACAACAAATTAAAATCTGGTAGTTTAAGTTCAAAAAATAGTAAACAGATAAATTTAACTTTACCAAATCTAGTAAGAAAGGCAGAAAGGCAGGGCGTTTTAATTTGTGGTATACGCTCTTTTACCGAAGTTGTACTTCATAAATGAATTTTGGTATTGCGATTATTTTTTTATTGTGAATAATAAAATAAGTAAAGTATAAGAGAGAAAAAAATTTGTAAAACAGTTTCAAGAAAATGATAACAAATGCACTAATAATTTTACTTTATTGTATTTTGATAACAAAAATAGTCATACATTCACCGGGGTAAAAAAAAAAAGATTTAAATGAATACTAAGGATACATGTATTAGTTGCTTAACCAAGAGATAACTATTTATAACATGTTTCACTAAAATCTAGTAAAATGAAAACATTGTAGATTGCATATTATTCAATATACCGGTATTAGTTGTGATGTAGGCACAGGTTCTAAAGAAGAATTTGGAGAAGGCATAAGTAAGTTCAACGTAATTGTTTATTTATCTTCTGCACACAAGTAAGTTTCACAATTACTTAATGAGTTAAGACATGTTTATACTTCTAACATATTATAGACAAAAGCCGATAACTTATATTGTCAAAAAACGCATTTCTCTGTCTCGGTCAAAATCTGCAGTATATGTAAAACATTATTGTTGCCATACGAGAAGGTAAGCCAACTCAAGATTTCTCCATAATGAAACCTGGATCTAAAAATCACAGTAGTTGGTTTACTTCCTTTATTTGATTTTGCTGACTTTTAGTATCCGTATTTTAACAAAAAGCTCAAGTTTATAATTCAGATTATCAAAAATTACTTAAACTAAGCAGGGATAGATGTAACATTTTTTGTTGTGTTTTAGATTGCTAGCTTCCAGGTGTGGAGTAAAAACGGTATAATTATAAGTTTATACTTGCTGATTAAATGTGAAATGTTTAGCTGGAAAAATTTGACGCCTAAATTTGACGCACAAACCATTTTTTGTTATTACTTTTACTTGCCATATTCAGTTGCTTAAAAAAGCAGTTTTATATAACAAGAAGTTATAGATTTTAGTGCCCGCAGGGTCAGTTGCGTTAAAGCTGAGCCATTAAACGCACCGAGTATTAAAGTAACCATTAACAACAATATTTGGAGCAAGGTAAATAGAAGGGACATGGTTTATTTTATTAGAAATTACATCTAAAAGAGTAAAATTTAGAGTAAATAGAGAAAGATGATAGAATAATGCGGTTCTGAGCGAAACGGTATTAAAAAATAGTTGAAGGTTCAAACCTGACTTCTTAAGAAAAAAGTGGATTTATGCGTATGTATATGCCCGAGTCAGGTATGTTGCTATTGAAGTCTTAGCGAATCAATGGATAGTAGCCATTAATTCTGAGATCAGTAGTAGGAACAGTCACATTTAATTTAGTTTCACAAAGAGCAAGAAACTATGATGCTATTTGCTAGATGTAAGATTCAAATGTTGAAAAGTTACTTCAAATAACACCAATATTTGTAAAAATATATTGATTGTGATGGTTTTTTTATTTTAATATTGTTGGTTGCATTAGGAATGCTTTAAGTTATAGAGAACTTGATATAGTTCTAAATAGAGTAAAACATCCCAAAAAAAGGAGCTATGCAAGTGTCAGTCCTGCTAATTAATATAAGTCGTAACATAAAGTTTTTTATGTAGCCTTGTTAATTACACATCAAAAGCACTAAAAGAGACATAATCCACGCGCAACATCTGACTGTTAATACTCTGATATATGCATGATAATACAGCTGCTAATAGTATCAGTTTCTTTGACATCTACCACAGACTTCAGTAAACCATACTACCAGCCAACCTACGAGTCATTAAACTGTACCACACTGAGAGTTTTATAGCTGCTTTCAAGGAGGTATAATTATAAATCTATGAACAAAGTCGGTAATATCCTGCATTTGTCATTCTATGCAGGAAACATAACGCAAGTTTACAACTATGCAAAACAGTATGCCTTTTTAGGCGCAATAGGCAAAATTAGTTTGGAAACCACTGTATTAAAGTGCTACATGGAAAAATAGTTAAAAATATAGTAAAGACAAATTAATGTAGACTAAAACTTTTACAATTAAGTTGAGGCAAAGTAAAGGTTTCAATGAGGGTTAGGTATAAACAACTTATTATGAAAACTTACTAAATGAAGTCTTTAATCAAAATATAGTTGAAATGTCTGCAGTAAAAAAGGCGGTTAGCGGTTGTCACATTTTTGCAATATAACTATGCATAATAAAATCCCAAATAATGGTAAAGTTAAACAGTAAAGGTTTATAAATAAACTCAAACTCTTAAAAATGTGATCCATGTCAAGGAAAACATTTCTTGAAGCAAATTAATAAGAAAAAGCCATTTAAGATATATGCGTGTTTTAGATAAGTAAAATGATTAACAACAAGAGCAATGTGGCGATATCCCAAGATGCAATATGTTAATATAAATCCCAAGATAAAAAAGAATGTGGCTATATGTTAATATAAATCCCAAGATAAAAAAGAATGTGGCTATATGTTAATATAAATCCCAAGATAAAAAAGAATGTGGCTATATGTTAATATAAATCCCAAGATAAAAAAGAACAATACAAAACAAAAGATGATGAATGTAAAAATTTGATATTAACCATGATGATAGATAGATTAAACATGACGATAGTAAAAGATGATTGTAAACAAAATTTTTTAATTTTACTTTTCTTTTAAACATCTTCACTTTAAAAAAAGCTACAAGCAACTACTCTTAAAGTTGGAAGTTTTTGGATAAGAAAAGATAAAGTTTACAAAACAAGATAACAATTTTTAGAAGAAATAAACTAGAAAAATAAATTTTTTACCACTTAGGAACAGATAATCTACAAATATGAGACTTAAATGAAAATTTGTGAACGACGAGTAACAAAATAATGAGTTTTAGTAGATGGCACAAAAAACGCTTTCTCTTTAGAGCGGCGACCATTATAGTATTTATAGAAAATAGAAAGAAAAGCAATATTAAGATAATGTGAGAATTGATTAAACAAATGATCAAACTTTGGCTGTAAAAGCATCCAACAATGTTTACAATGCGTTTTTTGCATCTTGTTTAAAGAAGAGCTTCATTTGAAAATTTGCTCCAGATAATTATGAAAGTAATGGTTAGGATTGGATATTACAGCAGTACAAAAAGAGGGAAAACAAGGAGAAGAGTGAGGCTTGACTAGGAATAGTCAAAAATGAAAAAAACATTCCATTCAAGGCTTAACCCAACAAGTTACATTAGATGCACATTTTTCAGCAGAAAGACGAAGGATTTTTACCCAAAGACAATCATGAAGAAACTTATGAACACAGTCCCAGTCTGCTTTAATGTATTTATAAGAGATATGACGATAGGAGGATAATGGGAAGTTTTGATGAAGAAAAATGAGATAAAAGTTTTAGAAGGATCAAACCGTGATTAGAAGCAGCTAGGACTGAGTATAGAGAAACTAACCATTAACTAGAATCACAAACAAGACATAAGTCATGTAAAGAAATTCAGTGATTTGGATTGTCTCGAAGGCGATTTGGAATGTTGAAAATTAGTGTTAGGAATTAAGAAAGGCAAAAGTTGTGGGTCTTAACGCCTTCTTAATGTTTGAGGTTGTGGAGTCAGTGACACAAGAACAATGCCATGCAGTGTGATGAGTCAACAACGATATTGGTTAAAGCATAAAGATAAAGCGCTTGACCAGTTTAATCAGAAATTAATTCAAGAAGAGTGCAGTCGTGACATAAAGAAAAACAATATAGAACAAAGAGAAAAGCGATAGAGTGAAGTTGTGCTAAAAAAACCACATAAAAGAAAAATTTGTGGATTTATACCTAGTTTCACAACAAATGGGTGAGTTCTAACAAACGTAAATTCAGAGCCCAAGCATATGACTATTAGAATTAAAGGTAGTTAACACTAACACAAAGATCACAAGATAAAACAGCTGAACTAAAGGTCTTGATCTACATACTTTTAAGACTCCACAAAAAAAAAAGTACTTTGAAGGCCACGAATATTAGTGATTGATAAAGTTAGAAAAATTGATGATATTATTCTTTTTGCGTTTTATAGTTTTTTATGAAATATGCTTTTCTGAGAACTACTATATAAAACGAGAGACCTGAACACCAGCAAACCTAAAAACTATAAAACTGAGTCTTAGAGCTATACCTTTCTTAGAAGATAAAAAATTGAGTTGACTAGCTATAAAAATATAAATTTAAGCGAAACCCATGCTTTGAGTCAAGAAGATCTGTCATTTTTCATCCTTAACTATAAACATCGTATTATAAATACAACTGCGACAGCATAATATATCAAGAAGTAATGCAAAGCTGATAAAAATCAGTTTACCACTTTAGTCTATGCCTTGGTGATCTTTTACAAGTTAGTAGCTGTATGCATTTAATGTCTATCCAAAATGAATTTGTTAAACTGGGTTTAATAAATTTATTTAATTGAACCTTATTTATTTAATTAAATTAGTTGAATTAGTAAAAATAATTGAAATGGGTTTAATAAAATTAGGCCATTGCTATGGTAGAGGTTGTATAAAAGTTGAAAAGTATTATAAATGTATTAAATAAAACAGCGGTTTTACGATATTGGGAATTAAAGTGTTGTTGGCTGGCAAAAAAAAATGTATTTGTAACTCAAAACTAGTTAGTTAACTTTTATATTTAGAAGTTTTGTGTTTGTTAATTAAACTTTTTTATTTGTAAATAATGCTAAAAAAAAGATTTAAAAATCATTCTAAATAAAAATATCCTATTTTATGTTTTAAGTAAATTTAACATAAATAATACGTTTTATTTCAAGTTTACTTTAGATAATTTGTAATTTTCCAGCAAATTTAGCTTAGTAACAGTAATTTTAATTCTCTTTATAAAAATCGTTAACAACTTATTTTAAAGTATGTTTAATTTTATGCAGAAATTTTCGTAATTTTCCTAACTTAAAATAACAAAAGTAAAATTGTAAGTAGGGAAAGGTTGTGTATGTTGAGCATATTAACAGTGTATTGTTTTTGTGGAGCCGAAATATTATAATATTTATATTTACTTTTGCAGATTATCATAATTTAATCTTTCCTCAAAAATAATATAAAAAAAATCTTTCGTTAAAAAAAAAATCTTTATATCAAAAAATGCTTTGTTTTCAACACACCCAATCGTCTCATCTTAGGAAACCAATTTCTTAAAATGATCTTTAATTGTATCATCTCAACCATAAAAAAATTCTTTCATATCTCTAAAACGTTAACAATAATATTTTTTGAAAAAACTTTCGCTCTTGAAATACCAAAATAAATTTCCATTAACTTGAAAAAAACCCGCTATTCTTAATAAAAGTCTCATCTTGAGTGTTTAAAAACGTATAACTTTAAGCAACTTTACTAAGTACTATCATAATTTAAATAGCATGACAACAGCTTATTTATTATCTCATGTAATCCATGGAATTAGCAGTAGATAAGCATTTAATATAGAATGTGTAATAATTTTTTGATTATCTTGTTTCGTTTTGACGTAATTACAAAATATTGAATAATAAAATTTTTTAACGGAAATGGTAAATTTTTTTAACAGTAAAACAATCAAAGAATTTTAACTATACAACCAAGAAATTAAACAAATAACACCGTGAATATCCTTAACTAACAATTTTCGAGAAAAAATTATTAGTCTACGAATAAAAGAGAATATACCATCTTAGGAACCTGCTCATATTACGCAACGTTCCCCAAAGTGTTTTTAAATAATAAAAATAAATTTAAAAATCAATATAACAAAACGCAATAAAAAATCTAAACTAAAAAAATCTAGCGAATAACTAACGTCAATTAAAAAATAATTTTAATCTTTTTAATGACCTTGCTTGTTAAGAAAGTCATTTTTTTACATTAAAAAAAGCAACATTGTTCTCGAGCTAAATTCATTTCTTCGTTGTGCGTAAGTATTACATTTTTTACGTATCTAGCGTAGTATTTGATACCTGAGCCTTATATAGGTTGCTGCTTTTTTACTATGATTTTTGAACCCTTGGGAATTTTATCCCAATTTGAAATCCGCGTTATACGCGTCGCAATTAGACTTACTAACACCCTGTTGAATGTGTGTATGTAAACAAATATATACATAAAATATAATACTGATTTTTTAAAACAATTCTAATTTAACACAATTTTTTTTCTGCAGTTCTTTTTTAATTTTGATTTTTAATTTAATAATAGTTTGCTTTAAAAAACAAAAAGGTTTTTTAATTTAATTTTGTTTTTTAATTTAAACTTTGCTACAAGTCATAAAAAAATATTTAGGTATATTTTACGAAAATCTTCACGACGATGTTACAGAGTTTAATTCCTTTCATTTTCAAGAAGATACTTTTGAAAATTGGTTTGACAGTAAATCAAGTGTCCGGATCGATAAAGTTTCACAGCACGTACTTAATGCTGAGAAAGAAAAAAAAGTTTTTGTAAAGTTTATTTTAATTTTATTGAACTTCTTGCTTAGGGGTCGTCAACAAATTACGTCACGCTAAAGAAGACGGAGGGATTACTGGTTTTGAGACAACTCAAATAGAATTTGTTACTAAAAGTTTACCATTTTATGACGTCCTCGTTACAGCATGAGGGTAAGGAGGGGAGTATTAAGAATGGCAAAAATTGCGTGACATAATATTTGGACGCCCGCTTATGTTAAATAGTGTCGTTTGATACATTAATAAAAGTTGTGACATAATTATTTAAACATTTATTGAAAACGCTGCTTACATCTACGTTTTAAGCTCACAAGCTAAAACTTAAGCTGAAAACACCAGTAGATGTTATAATTAAGGTTTGGCATTTGGCTGCAATATTTAGGCATTAAATTTGTGTTTAGTTTTGGATGGGCCTCACCTCAGCAAATTTTACATGTTAAAATAGATAAAAAATTACACACACACACACACATATATATATATATATATATATATATATATATATATATATATATATAATATATATATATATATATATATATATATATATATACATATATACACTTACTTTAGCAAGTGTTTTCTATCCCTATATATTTTGCTGATATAGAGAGTTTTCCCCACAAAGAAATTAACACAAAACAGTAACAAAAAAAGAACAAGTTGTTATAACATTAATGTCTTCGTATCTAGATACTTCGTATCTAGATACGAAGACATTAATGTTATAACAACTTGTATTTTAACATTTAGTACCTAAATCCGGTACTGTCTAGATAAGAAGGACATTAAAAATTATACAAATACATAACTTTAGTATGATCATATATTAATGTGAAAAAAATTTATTTTGCAAAAAACTTATTGCCATTAATACTTCCAGCATAAAATTATAACTTTAGATTTCCAAGACTTATTGTAATGAATGATAATTAAAATATTTTTTTTTATAATTTTTGATCAGTAAAAGTATTTAAAATTGTTTTAAAATATTATTTCAAATTAGCATTTTGGGGTGTAAAGTATTATATTAAGTTAACGAACCCTCTTTTTGGAGGTTAAGTGTACTAATAAATATGTAGTTATTTTATAATAAATTTTTATGTTTTTTGTTTAGATCTATGACGTTTTGTATACATTTTTATTTTTTTAACTTTAATGGATTTTTTTTCAATAGGAGGAATGCATAAGAAATTATGGTAATAAAACATGTATACTATTTGAGCCAGTTATTAAGGTTACTTTTACAATCGTATTTTTTATATTTTAAATGTATTATGATTCTTTGTAAAAAGTTAATTGTATTTTATATTATTATGATAAAATAAAAATCAAGTTTTTGTTTTTTAAAATATAATGAGGCTATAGGAGTCCTATAATTAATTTAAAAAAACGCTACTTTTTTACTAAAAACTGCAAATTATTTTTTTGAAAACTTTGCTAAAATTGCTTTTTTTTAAAATTTTCATTTTTGTTGATGATAATAAACATGGAATTATTAGAAATTTATTTCATGGCTCCACATTCGTTTTAGTCCGGGAGTAAAACTCTAATAACCACTGGTTGTGGCTAAATTGTTTTAATTGTGAAACATTACCCAGTATGTTCCTAAGGTATACAAAAAATAATCCCCTATTATTTGTAACAAACATTTTGAGTCCAATTTTTAAATGATGTTTGCAAAAAACGGTCAAAATTATTTTACCTTAACTATAGATTTGATGTATACTGTTACAAAACAATACTTATGATAAGCAATTATAAACAAAATCAATTAAATTTCCTTAATTGCGCATATAAATGTCAAATCACAGCATCCATTTAACACACTTTTACATTTCTGCAACATTTGTAAAAAACCTAGCAGTAAGCAACCCGTAAAACAGGTTATAGTTGGTCTGTTTTACACCTACTATTTATACATTGTCTACCAACTTTATGTTTAATTTTAATAAAGTTTAGTAAGTGGTACCAATACTAATACTTTTCATGGATTTCGGTTAACAATTAAAGCATAATCTGCTATATTTACACGGCCGGGTATATTGGTTTTTACCGCAAAAAATTAGAAAGCCGGTTTTATCTGATGTAATAATCAATTCTTTAAACAAAAGGCTTTGATTTTCTTGTTATACATAGTATTTTTTGATTGTTTAGAAGTTTTGCTATGAGTTTATTTATGAAGAATTTATTAATTTTATTCATTTAAGTGAGATTTTATTTAAGTAATAATATAAATACAATACTTAATTTTATTTAAATGAGACTGCTCTTGAGATATAATATTTTTTTGTTGAGCTTCAAAAAAAAAAAAAAAATTTCTATTTTTATACCTAGAATTCCTAATACAATGCCAAACATATGTGCCATAATATACTGTTGCAGTAGGTGCAAAAGTAAATTATCAAATACATATATAAATCCTCTGAAATTGCCTTCAGAGCCAACTATTTATAACAAAGGAAACTGTGTTTTTATGTTTCCTAATGCTGTAAAAAGACGTAAAATAAGAAAAAATAATTTAAATTTGTTAATAGAAAAAATTGGTATCCTACAGTGCATTCAGGTGTTTGTAGTGCACATTTTGATTGAAAGTTTCTGAAGCAAGGTGTTAGAATGACTCTTGTTTATGATCTTAATCTAATACCGACTATTTATTTAAATGATGCAATAAAAATAATTCCACCTTCTCTGTTATTATCTATTCCAAGTCAATCAAGAAACTCTTCCCCTAGATGTGTCACAAGCATTCAAGATGAATCAGATATTTTTATGAAAAAAGATTCTATCAAAGACCTAAATATTCAAGCCCTTTTAGCCTAATTTTCCAAAAATTTGTTTCCCATGTTTTATATTATCGTAAATTTAATGTGGCATTATTGATAATGCTCCCTGTATTGAATCAGTAAAAAGTGGCACTTTTTACTGATTCAATACAGTTGTCAACAACCCTGCTTGTCACAAATCGTGAAATAAGTTGCTGGATCAGATTTTCTAAATCAACATTAAAAATTTTCAACATAAATTTATTTGTTTGGCTATCATGGAAATATGCTGTGTTTGATGTCTCATCAAGAAAACACTTTAGCTTACACTTTTTTTTAGTAACAAATTCACTTTTGAATCCTAGCGGTCCAATTACAATTACAGTCTCTTAGAAAATTTGCAATAAAGAGCCCCTAATCTGCTTAAGATTTTCCAGCAGCTGTCTAATCAAACTTTTGCTCTTTATTAAAATTACAGTTGCTTTTGTGAGGATTATCCTTCGAGTAAGACTTACACAAAAAATAAGTATAAAATATAAGTTGGAAAATTCAACATTTTTAAAAAGTATTTTGATCTCAGTGGCTGATTCAACTGCAAGCACACCAGCCAAGTTCAGACTGTGAGCGTTACAGGTACGTACAGAGCTTCTGAATAATTTTGCCTTATTATGGCTTGAGTTCCGTTGTAAGCACCTGAGATATTGGAAACGTTTTTGTGTCCTTGACCGCGACATTTTTGAATATCCATACCTAACCTTAAAATCACATTAGTGATAAGTTTAGCTATATCGAAACCATTCTTTATCTCAAATGCTTCAACTAATATCTGCTTAGTGTGAGATATATTAGGGGTACCATCGACTTTGATTGTGAAGTAGATACCATCCTGAATTTCTTCGACAGCTGCACTTTGGATAACACCATGTACTTTAATGAACTCATTTTAAGAGGACGGAGAGATATATTGGGCATTCATTCTGGAGCCCTTTTGTTGATGGTCTTACGAATTCTAAGTGGGATGCAATGACACGGTTTTGGCAACCAATTAGCTCTACACCAGCAAGAAAGCTTTCGTTTTATTTTCCATTCACGTGTGTTTTTTCACCTGGAAAAAATGTTGTATACAATAATTATAACTAAATTATTGCAATAGTTATATAAATAGTAAAAGTTTATATTAGGAAAACTTTAAAAATTTATCCTTCTGATTCACTTTAAAATTCATTTAGCTAAGCTGCAAGGGATTTGTTTAAGTCCCCCACTGATCCACAGTCTTTTTAATAACATATTGAGTGCAGTAAATTACTCATATTGAATAAAGCAAAGATGCAAAGATGCAATAACTCAAATACTTGATAAGTGGTCAGGTCCTGGGAGAGGCAAGACCGCTTATTTGCCTCAAAAATGCAATGCTATGATTCTCTCATTTTCTTCATCAGTCAAATGCTAGTTAAAAAATCAGCGCTTTTATCGTGAAATCGACAATCGAAAAATGACAAATTATTTTCTTCTACTTCTTCAACAACTGCATAATTAAAGAAGCTGAAGCAAACCCATGGAACGCACTAACAAACGAAGTTGTCAGTGCTATCAGTGTCAACTGCTTTAAATCAAAATTTGATTAGTTGCCATTATAATTACCACAGAAAATAGTCTTTCGTACAGTGGAACACGAGCTAGCATTGCTAACTGTTTATGGGTTTACGGAACACGCCCGTTTCCATCTAATTCTACAACATTTAAATCTTATTCTTTAAAAAAATTAAATCAAAGAGAAATTAAAAGTTGTCTTTTTAACTGTTATGAAGAGGACTGTAGTTAAAACAACTGTAGTGAAGAAAAGCTTAAGTCATGTAAACTAATTTTTTAAAGATATATTTAGTTTTTAAATTCATTTTTAAAATGGAATGTTCTTTAAAACTACTCATAACAAAGTCTTTAAACTTCTCTACAAAATATTCTCTACTAAAACTCTCAACAAAACGACTGTTTAACTAATGGTAATTGCATTTAATAAAAATAATGTTAACTTTGTATTTATTCACAGTTTTTTGTTTCAATTTATTTTTCATATCCTTATTATTCTAAATAATAAAACAAGATATCCGTATTTTTAAAATGTTCAAGTGCTAAAATAGTCCGCTTGATTAAATGATTTTTTAACAAAAATTTGAAAGACTTAAATTGTCTTTAAACTTGTTTTTTTTTTTGTCATGAAGAAATAATAATTTTATATTTTTATGAGAATACTATTTCTAATATTTCTTCTTTAATTATGTGAAACAACTTGTTTGATTATTTTTAGGCAATTTTGTCTGAATGTAATAATTGTTTTATTCTTCGGATTACAGTAAGTTATTTAACTTTTAATTTTGTTTTGCTTTTTTTTGTTTTTTTTATTCTCTATAATTTTTTTTATAATTCTCTATAATTTTTATTCTTTATAAATATATAATTACTTGTTGTATTTTATTACCATTTATACGCTTTTTTTTTGTTTTTATTTTTAAACTAATTTACTCACAACATGGCTGCAAGCAATGACTATTATAACAGGAGTTACTTAAAAACAAAGAATAGAGTAAAAGAGCAAGGAAACAGTTGACAGTTAAAAGTTAAAAGTTGTAAATTGTATTAGTCAGAAAAACATGAATTTAGGAGAGAATTAGTGTGTTCAGAAAAAAACTAGATTGTTTAAAAGTTTGAGAGTATGAAGAAATAGTTACATTCAAAGGATGTTACTTTGTTGAATGACGAGTTGAGCGACAATAAGTTTTGGTTAAAGTAACTAAAGATGATAGCTCATTATGCAGCTAAAATGATTGCATATGTAAAAAAGAAAAGAGCTGCAACATTATGACAAATAAAAAGCTCAGAAGATTCAGCTGCTCCAACTACTTTCACAATGTATTTTGAACATTTTCTGGTAGTGAAAGAGCGTCTATAAAAAATCCTAAAAGTGCAATGTATATATGGTTGTATACTTACCATTGCAAGTTTAGGGTTTTTTATATACGGTCCATGAGAGTTAGGTTTTAAATAATAACTCAAGAAAATGTAAACTAAACAATGCAGTGAGGTAGTTGCATTTATAAATATAAAAATGTCTAAAATATTTTGTTAGTTGCTTGAAAAAAATAACCGAATTTTTTAGAGTTAAAATTCACAATTAACTGCAATTGCCGAGAATTTAATCTTTCTTTATTTTACTAAGAGACTTCAGATTTCAAATTCAAAAAACCACCAAAGAGTGGAGACTTTTTTTTTAGCAAATAGAGTCAATTTAGATGTAGGATCTTTAACAGATATATGATAAAGTATAAGATTGAAGAAAATGAGAAAGGAAAATCTTTCTAAAATATTTGAATGTTTTTTACAAATTTCTTCAACTTTTATTTAAAATTAAGAAATGAACGAGTATAAAAATGCTTAATTTTTAAAATTTTTCTTTTTTTCTAAAAAATATTGATTATGGTGTTATGTATTTATTCTATTTAAAAGTATTTAATTATGGTGCTCAATAAATTCTACCCAACTGCTATAGCCAATTTCTTTCTTATGATTGAACATGCCTTTAGTAATTCTTGTACTGAATTTATAGTCTTGCCTGTTTTATCCAAATATTCAAAACCCTAATATTTTTTGATGGGCAAGATTTGTGTACATATTGGAGAGTTGAGCTTTTATGATACACAATTAATCTCTCAATGCATTAATTCTACTCAAAATTTTTTTAGCTTAGTGGTAGAAAAAACAAAAACTATTCAATAAATATTTAAAAAATATAAACGAAAAAAACCTTACTGTTTATAAACAATACAAAAACCTTTTTGAAAAAATTAAAAAGAAATCTAAAAAAAAGTATTTTTCTAAACAATTACAAAAGCACAATGGTAGTATTAAAAAAACATGGGAAATTATAAACGAAGTTATTGAAAAAACCAAAACTAAGTCCGAAATATTACCCTACAGAATTGAGGAAGATGGATTGGAGTATACAGATAAAAAAACTATTTCAGATAAATATAATAAATTTTTTGTAAATATCGTTCCTAAACTGGCATCCAAAATAAACAACTCAAACAATTTATTTAATAACTATCTTACTATACTTGTTCATTTACTGAGAGTGACCTAAAATCTGAGGAATTTGACAGATATTGACAACATTTCTAGCAATGTAGTATATGATGTTTTATACATTTTAAAAGATCCTCTTTTAGAGGTTTTCAAGTCATCAATTAGAACGGGAATAGTTCCAGACAAACTAAAAATTGCAATGATTTTACCTATATTTAAAACTGGAGACACGGCATTGCTAACCAATTATAGACCTATCTCAATTCTTCCAGTGTTTTCCAAACTCCTGAAAAGAATAATGTACAACCGACTTAATAAATATTTAATAGACGGTATCATTAATACAAAGTTATTAAAAATAAAATGTGGTGTCCCCCAGGGATCTATTCTTGCACCTTTATTATTTCTTATCTACATTAACGATCTCCCTAAAGTCTCTACAAATCTCGATTGAATAATGAGATTTGCAGATGATACTAATCTGTTTTACTCAACTGCCTCTATCAATGACCTTTTTAATAAAGTCAACATTGAGCTTCAAAAACTTAAAACATGGTTTAGTGCTAACATGTTATCATTAAACGCCCAAAAAACTAAATATATTTTATTTCACTCAAAGAAACAAAAAAATAAACTACTATCAATTCTACTCTAACTAAGTATCGAACACAAAAAAATTGAAAGAACCCAAACAATTAAACTTCTTGGTGCGATTACTCACAAAAATGTTTCATGGACAGCTCATATAAATGCCATAAACACTAAAATATCTAAAATTATTGGTATACTTTATAAAGCTAGACTATTTTTATCGCAAAAAAACCTAAAACTTCTTTATTTTTTCTTTATACATAGTTATCTCACATATGCCAATATTGCTTGGGGAAGCACACACAAGATACAGTTAATTTCCCTTTATCGACGACAAAAACATGCCTTCAGAATAATACATCATAAGAACAAACTGACCCACGCTAAATCCCTATTAAATGAAATGAAAGCGCTAAACATTTACCAAATTAATATCTATGCTAATATACAAATTAGTTCATGCTAAAATACAAATTAGGATTAGTTTCAAACCGATTCACAGAAAATTTCTTTCAATCTAATCTCAACAAATTTAACACAAGATCAACTTGTAACTTTATTGTACCCCGGAAAAGACAAAAAAATTCTCAATTCTTTATTTCTTACCGCGGCCCTTATTTATATAACAAACTAATTCCAAATTATACCTCAATTTCTCTTGCTGACATTATAACTTCTTTAAAGTCAAAACTAAAAATTCATGTTCTCAATACAGATAATTACTTAAAAATGTTTTAGTTCCAATGGTAAATTAATATTTACGCTCACATTCAGATAATTAGCAATCAATTAAAAATGAAAATGATTTTTTTTTTTAATTAAAAAACAAAGATAATATTATTATTATAAACCACAACGCTAACACCATACATAGTATAATAAAAAAAAAAGAAAATTCTACCTCAATGACATTTAAAATATTTGTTTTATGAGTATCATGATGTTTATATGTGTACTTTACGCAACACCCCAAGGTTCTCGATGATAAGACTAAACTCAGTCTTCTACGAGTTCATTACAACAGTCAATTAAAATATCGAATGTTAATGTTCTTTACTATGTTTCTTTAATAAGTTGAAAACAATTTGCTTAAACTATACTTTTAATTGTTAACAAATTTACTACGTGCAAGTTTAGAACGTTTTTTAATGTTTTTACGGACGTTCTAATGCTAGATTTAAATCTTTTGTCAAATTTAGTAAAATAATTTGATAAAATTGCGAATCATTTTTATAAAATAACTTATTTTTCATATTTGTTACAAATATAAAGTATATTTATTGTTATATATATTTATTATTATATATATTTATCATTATATATATATTTATTATTATATATATTTATTATTATATATGTTTGTTATTATATTAAAGTATTATTTTTTCATTTTATATTTATTATAGTTACTTGCTTACGGTAAGGAAAATAATATTTGCGAATGTTTGTTAATCAACTTTTTATATAGAAGTACAAAATTGCAAGTCTAAATTGTTTTTTTTTTAACTATTTTAAAAAAGAATATGGAAAAGCGACGCCATGTCTATGTATCCCAGGAAAACAGAAAGGAAAGCAAATTATAAACATTTAAAACATGTTATTTATTATTTTCAAATGTAGTTTTTGTTCTAAACTAGGTTTTTATTAATTTATTTTCTTCTGCTTTTTAATAATTTATTTTAAATACAAAACTCTAAAAACTCTGCATCATGATCTGTCATGCATATAAATGTTCCTTAGTATAGGTCAGGGTTCGGCAACCCACGGTTTGCAAGCTACACGTTTCGCATATATCTAAACTATGCGTCTCTCCAGGCTGTCCTAATTGTTTTAATGTGTTATTAAAACACATTAAAACTACTATCTTTTTGACTCTTTAGAAGACTTTTTAAATTATTTTAGGAAAAATGGCTCTCCTCTCAAAATAAATTACCGACCGAGTTTATGCTTATTATTTAATTATAAAAATACCGTTACACTAAATAAAAATCTCTCAATACGATTGTTAATGTATGTGAATTTTCGCTGGATTATATTTACCAGCATCTATAATATATAATATCTAAACTATAATCCAGCAAAAATTTCAAAAAAATTAACAATAGTATTAAAAGAAATCGTATTAACTGATGTTTTTATATTTTTAACATGTATACTCTCATACAAGATGTTAACATTTAAACCATAAATATATATATATATATATTTATTTATATATATATATATATATATATATATATATATATATATATATATATATATATATATATATATATATATATATATATATATATATATATATATATATATATATATATATATATATATATATATATAAATGAATTTTCGCTGGATTATATTTACCAGCATCTATAATATATAATATCTAAACTATAATCCAGCAAAAATTTCAAAAAAATTAACAATAGTATTAAAAGAAATCGTATTAACTGATGTTTTTATATTTTTAACATGTATACTCTCATACAAGATGTTAACATTTAAACCATAAATATATATATATATATTTATTTATATATATATATATATATATATATATATATATATATATATATATATATATATATATATATATATATATATATATATATATATATATATATATATATATATATATATATATATATATATATATATATATATATATATATATATATA